ATGTTGTGGCTGCAAAGAAAAACGTATGGCACTGACCATGCCTACCGTAACAGAATTCCCTACCAAAAAGGTAGAAAAAATAGACACAGTATGTACCACAAAACTTTATAAATGCATCATATAGACGCATTTTAGCCTAAATTCAACAAAGAAATTCAGTTCACGCCATTAGAACTTTTATCTTGTTGCCACTGTTCCCACAAAACCTCTTCATCCACAGCTGAATGCAGCTCTCTCTTTCTCAGGAGGAATGGACATAAAAAAGGTATCTCTGTAGCACAGATGAGTGATTACAAAACAAATAATGGCTTAGCTTATCAGATCAGATTTGCTTATTTTCATAAAAACTACCACCATCAATCAGGAATCAAGTAGCTACTATTCACATCAGAGGGAAGCAAGGATAATTCAATATGTAAAGCTCTGAAATAGACATAATTGGAAGGCGAGTAAGCAGGTGTTATTTTTTTATCAGCTCTATTGTATTGCTTTAATGACAACCTGCTTTTTAAAAGACCTATTTAACTTTCCCAGCCAAAAAACATGTGAAAAACTGTCTCCTAGCCAAAGAATGTTCTAAACTCACACAGCGATGCTTTACATCACATAAATGTAAATTCACTCCACAGGGCATTCCTTGATGCAATGGAAGACTCAAAACCATCAATCCTGTAGGTCTGTAAACAGCCTTTCCTCCAGCCTTGACAAATACAATCCTCACCACTTCATTTCCTTGCAGATTGCTGCTCCAAAGCTCACTGCACTGACCAGGAAACTCCAGCTTTTTAATCTCTTTTCTATGATATCAAATACGAAGCTCTTGATTTTGCAGCTGACAATTTTGTTAGGCTGTTCCCTCATCACCTCACAACTAGCTTATGAAACTTACACAGTACCTGTAAGGCTGCTGTGCTGCAGAGACTGCGGCATTTCCTTAAGGCCAGTACTGTGAGGTACTACTGTGGTGTGAAGTCAATCTCAAAGTTAATTCAGTGTGTTTCAAGATCTCCTGTGGCAAGTTCAGGATCAGGAGTGCTATCGTGTAACTGCAGCCACACTGAAAGCTGGCCATTGCAAATGAACGATGGCATTGTAAATCCACAACTGTGTAAAATAACACTGATCCCCATTTTTCCCCTGGTCATCCATGATTTATCATGCAACTGTTCAGGACTCTAACAGTTAAAAAAAACAACAAAACAAAACCCATCCCATACACCATTCCCCAAACCCATCACTGTAAAACACAGTAAAAGCCACATTTTTAATGTCTTTGTAAAAATCTCAATATTTCTATACTCCTGTGAGTTTCAGCCCTTATTAATCTCCCAGATTACAACCATGAATCAAATGACAGCAGTTCTCCCCATCAACTTCTCTTAGCTATAACAGATCAGGAGTTTATTACCTCCTCCCATCACCCAACACATCTGTCAAGACCTCAAGACTCATAATTATTCACGGAAAGACCCTTTAGTTGCTTTGTGGAAGGATCTTCTCCTGAGAAATATTTGCTTTCATAAAAAAGTTATACACCTGTGTTTTGCTCCCTCTGCATGGTGTACATTGTCAGTGCTGCCCTACATGAAGATGCAGAGATGTTGGCATTTTTTGCATACTACTTTAATATAAGCCAAACATAGAAAGGAGTTACTCTGTACATTCTTGCAGTCTGAAAACCTAATGTGTTAGTGCTTGACAAAAGAAATGCTTCAAATGATTCAGAAAATAAATAAATAAACAAACAAATGAATAAATATATACATACATACATACAAACTTTTTCCCACCCTGATTTCACTATTTGGATTATTGCCTAGATAATCCATTTGACAACCAAATGCAGCCTAGCAACTGTCTTGAAAATTGAGTAACCCCAGGTTCAACCGCACTACAATACTTCAGCTTCAGGCAAAACTGATGGAACAGCTCATTCGCAGTACTTTCACCAAGCCCTGGCCCTCACTGTATGTCTTTCTGATTACACTTAGATTGTGTTACAGTTTACTGGCAGCACTATAGTATTACAATATGTATTACCACTAGCCAACTCTGACTGTATGCATTCAGTTTCATCAAGAGCTAAAGACACATGGCTCGATGCATATTCATTGCTGCATTGCCATTTCTCAGCTGTTAAAACAGCTGCATGAATCAGCAGCAAGTTTCACAACTTAAAATAGATGTAACCCTGCAGGATACTTGGGCTCACTGTGCATTATGATTCCCACTCGTAGGCTGGTAGGAGCTAAGGACATAGTGCACTTAACTACAGTATTTCTCCACTCAAGCATAGCACTACCCTAAAGCTATAAGCTACATTAGTGTTTCAGTTTGGAGCAGAAGTGCGCTTTTGTAATAAATCTCCTATCCACTGGGACAGATGAACTCATTTTGATGGAGCTATACCAGAAATGCACCAGTGACTTCCACCTGCTAGTAGCATGTGTGCTTCTGAGGACCAAACTATAGCTACAGAAGGGTAAACCCTCTTCAAATGCACATAGTGTTTTCTGGATCTTCAGTACAAAAGGCTTTGTTCTGCAGATCTGCTCCTCTATGCCCACACTGATTCCTGCATGCAGACAGAGCTGAACATGGCTGGCTGACTACCACAGAGGAGCTAGCACTTTTGGCTAGCCTTTTTGGAGGAAGGAATTCATGATATAAACTTCGGGTTGGACAGTTTCTACACCCAAAGAAGAAAAATGTTTCCTTTAAGTTAACAGCTCTACCTGCCTATGAAAAGAAATCATCTGCGAATATGTATCTTCTGTTCAGAGGCCATTCTGAGCTCTCTTCCAGGTCCTCAGCTAAAAAATACCATCTAAGAGCACATGCAAAATTATCCAGTGAACAACCAAATAAACTGTGTTTTGGTTTTATTCATTTGCTATGCCAAGAAACTCTAGAATCACTCATACATATTGCAGTTATTGTGCTTCCAATATTTGTTAGTCCTTCCCCTATTTGGTGTATGCACCATTGCTTACCATGGAAAAATCTAGTGTTACACTATCCCCACATGTTTTTATCTGTCACCACATGCATAGATATGCATGTGCCATGGACAGAAGAGCTTGGTATTTATTTTAAATTACTGCAATGATAAGGAAAGTGATTGTTTTACATTAAAATAATATAATGTAAAACATTTCATATGAAAAGAGATTCCTGAACATGTTGTTTGTTCAGTATGTTTCTCATACAACCATGCTACTGCTACTGCAGTACCACAAATATTATGGTAGATATTGTTGTTAACAATACATAGAAACCACATATCCTGTAGGAATTTCAATACATATTTGTTGTGTTTCCTTACCTGGTGACACAGACCCTTCCTTCCCCCTACTTCAATGCAAAAACAAACTCTACATGTGATCACTTTCAGAGTTGTGCCTAATTATATAAATGTACTAATTATACACACTTTTCAAATGGTGATAGACTTCAAAGTAGGTAAATTTTAAATTGTGCCATTAAGGAAATCTATTTGATGATGGAAATTTCTGTAATATCATATTGCAATCTCCTACATCGTAATTTTGCTTTCAAGTCTGTATTAATTTAATGACAAAGAACAGCAGAGAATAATAGAGTTGGGAAAGCAAACTGAAAGCTGTGAGATTTACAATGTGATGTTGGTCAGCAGATGCTAACAGAAAGGAACAAAAACAATTTAGAAAAGGAATGGATCTAAGGTAAACAATGAGTAGAAAGAAGTTCTGCATTTTGAATATGAATACCAAACCTTCAGAAACCACTCAGTTAATAAACACCTGCCAGACTGACTTATCCCCATGTGTTCAGTTACTTACAAGAAAACATATATATATGTCACTGAACACTTAATTTACATGCACAGTTATCACACTGCTAAGCACGACTTGCAAATTAGTTAATGCAGTTCAGAGCATCTCTTTGCATGCAAAATAATGCCAACTGTATATATAAACCAACTCTAAAATCACACATAGCTCAGCCCACCAATGTCATACACACATTTAGGCAAACCAAACTACCGCACAAGACTTCAGCATGTGCACCTCCTTTTTGGACCTTGGTAGATGTTTCTGACTGATATAACCTCACTCTCAAAAAAACCCCATTTAATTCTAACATTAAATATACACCAAAACCCCATGTTCATTAACATAACACTTGAGGGAATTCATAGTATAAATGAATGTATGAAAGCTGATTTCTTTTAGCACTACTTAATAGTTACTCTCTGTAGATTTGATGTCCTAGGTGTGGAGGTTTTTTATATAAATTAAAAGAATTTATATATCTCTGCTCCAGAATCTGAATCTTGCATTGACAAGGCCACAAGGCAGATCAGACAGCAATTGCAATGCAGCAACGCTATAGGCCATTAATCCTTCTACCTTTGGTTAAACAATAGCTTATGTGGCAGGGAAGAGACAGAATCCATCTTCACTGAAAAACAGAACTGTGATCTTCTCTCACACAAATTCTAGTGTCAAAACAAATAGTCTTACTAAGGTGCTATCACATTTAACTGAATACATTTATGGAATGGCTTGATAGAAGCATCTTATAAGCAGCAAGTGGGTGATTCTGAGTTACCAAGATCAAATATTGATCAGGACTTTCCCCCATTGTTCAAGAACTCTTGGGTCTGAGAGTCTGGATACACCATTAAAAGTGAGGGGTCCAGATACACTTGAATAGCTTTAAGATCACAGATTTTCTCCTCTGGCACACCCACATAAAATTGTAAAAGAGATTAAAAATATCTCTGCACAAGTAACAATTTTTCTTCCTGCATAGCTATAAAATGACTCACACAGAAAAAAAAAATCTCATAGAAGTTGGAGTTTAAAGCAAATACGATGCAAGTTCAGTACTGGAATGAGGAGGTTCAATAGCAACACAAAGACAACGCACAGCACAAGAAGCGATTTTGTGATAATTGATGACATCTTTGACCTCTGCTCACATGTGAAGTGATTCCATGCCCTTCCCAATGTTACCTTTTGATATTCTTCCTTAGATCTCAAGGCAGCTTCCATCTGTTCAGGAGAAAATGTGTAGATGGCTGAGCGATACTGTGTGCCAACATCCCCACCTTGCCTCATTCCTGGGGAGAAAGAAAACACAGCACACCATAAGGATCACCCTCCCTACCTGACCAGGCTGCAGGCCTAAGTTCAACAGACCTAAATTTAGGATGTTCCATACACCTGGATTAGCACAGTTTCTTATGTGCATACTCAGTAGGTATTTTTAGGAAGTCCAAGTCTTTCCTTGGTTAAATAGTCCTGAAGAGATTCAACTCTGGTACCTCCTTTTAAATGACATGCAAATGAAATGTGAGCATTTCACATTTTGGTAAATCACACAGTAGTCAAATACAGATGTAAAACCTTAAATAATCAAGCTGCAGTTACTGTAATCAAGGTACTCTTAAATTATTTATTTTGAACCATGAAATGTTTACAAAAAATAAAAGTTTATTAAGTGCTTAAAAACTTTCTTGTGCTGGAGGAGTACCTCTTAATGGGAGAAAGGTTCGAAACACCCTTGGAGGTAATTAGCTATTCTTCTCTATTCACAAACCAAGACTGGTATGCATGTATTGTCAAGTTACCTCTGAAGTTACCCATTCTTAACAGCATCTCTTATGAAGCTCTCAAATCTGAGCTCCAAAGAGCACTCTGATAGAGAACTGTGCCAAGGAGAAGGTTTGATAAAGTCCGACTGAGTTAGTAATGTTATAGAGCGAGCAATGCCTAGGAACAGCAACTGTTTCACAATTTTTTTTTGAGTTTGGGAAAAGTAGAAAGCACAGAATGCATATATCTATCTAATTCTATTTGCGACCTACGTGTGGATAATGCAGATAGCAAAAGTATCTAATACTGTTTATACATTTATATGTGACATTTTGAAAACAAAACCCTAGTTATACATACCCGTAACTCCTTCAAATTATGCCATAAATGAGTAATTCTGGTAATCAGCCCCTTTAATGCTGATGTGTGCAAATCCCTTCAAAAGACTAGCTGCATGAAGTTGCTCATGTATGAATTTTCAAAATATGGGATGGCTACTACCTACAAAACTATAAAATAATGGGCCAAAGCAGAGAGAAGATTACTAACCCCTTAGGTGACTAGTTCAGGCATGGTTTGGCATTATGTTGTCCTAGGCAGCCACGCTGGCCAAAGGCACTGCTGTCTTTCAGCACTATCCACTCTCATTTCCCCAGGCAGCAATACTGCAAGCCAGCTCTGTTGTGGATCATTCCATAAAGTCAAAAACAGCCTTAGAGAGGAGCTTTAGCATTAAGAATGGTCTGGAGGTGCAGTTTTGCAATTGCTATTTCCCAGTTTCTGTCTTTCATACCTAGTTCCCAATTTTGCATTCAAAATGGCTTTCCTCTAATAAAAAACATTCAGTTTGAGTTTGTCTGGTGTTGCATATGGACTTGGATGAGTTAAAAAGCTGGAGGTTCTGAAGCAGACTCAGACAAGCAGACTCTTCTCAAATGCCTGCAACCCAAGACAAATTGGAAATCATCAGGATCTGTCTTTTGACTGCCAGCCCCTTTGAAGATTGCCATCAACTCTCAGGTCTGTAGAGATGAAATGGAAAAAAACCTGTACACCCTGATGCTCTCCTAGCAAAAGGCAGAGGGTAGAGAAAGAGCCTGTGATACTGGAGGGAAAAGATGCTACCAACATAATACTACTCATTAAAACATGATAACTTTTATCCCTCGTGCACTTTCCAAGGAAACAGACAACTGGTTTTAAGGATAGTACAATAAACAAAATCTGGCTGAAACAGGTATGAACTAAAAGATGCAGAAAAATATTTTAAAATATGCATCTGGACAAAAATTCTATTCAGTGACCAACAGTATACACCAGAGATGTGATTCCAAAAAAAAGTTATCTGATGATTTAGTTTACTTTTTAACTGCTAAAGTGTTCCATTATTACACACAAGAACAACTTCCTTCTTCATCAATACTTAATAGTGTGGTCTGCAAGGCAAAGAATATTTTGCTCATTTCTCTGCAAGTATTTTAGAGTAGTAGGGAGCCAGTGTGAATGAATACAGGCCAGTAAAGCATTAGTTTTGCCAAGATATGTTAATGCTGATTGATGTTTGAGCTTAAGAATTAGTATTCAACAAATCTATTTATTGCTTAACAAACTACTTAACAACCAACTAAGGAGTTGATTACAAAAATCTCCATAAATGGAGGATCACTATGTAGCATACCAGCTTCGAGCAAGCATTTCAAGAGTGTGAGTTTAGCATAAACTTATGTGTATGGTGCTCTGAGTGAGAAGATAATCAAGATTACTTAATATATGCACATGCCACCATTGCATAGCAATAGGGAAGTGGTCAGCTTAATTTACTGAAGAAAAGTTTAAGAGGAGAGCTGACTGATTTACAAATACGGATATGGCATAGAGAAACACCCTGAGAAATAAGGCTCTTAAGTTTTGCAAATGTCGCCTGACTATGTAGGCCAGTTTGAAGTCAAAATATACAAAATCCAGATGGGAAATAAGGCAACATTCAAATAGCAAAGAGCATTTATCAGCGGAACAATGCACATAAAGCCATATCCCTTTCCTGAGGGCTTCACATTAAGGATATACATTTTCCATAAGGATATACCAAAGCTCAAGAAACTGTACAAGGTCAGTGATACAATTATGAAGTTAAGGAGGAGGTCGAACTGTGCAATAGTAACAGCTCCTCCTAGAACTCAAGTGTCAGTTTGCACTGTTAAATCATCCACTAGCTATGAAAAAGACGGAACAGGTTTTCAAATTATTACCCCAAAGTGTAGCTTTAATATGATCAGTCATCTAAGCTAAAATGTCATTCATTTTTCCATGTTACTTAAATCAATTTGTACCTAAATGTCCCACAATCAGAGCTAATACATTATCTAAAGCACAAAGACTACGAGATAATAAAGTAAGTTCCATGCATATAGACATAATCAGTTACTACTGTTGCTGTTGTTATTTGTAATACACCTCACATGTACAAACCTACTTCTCAAGGGTCCATCACTGATTTTTTAAAACCCTCTGGCAAGTCTTACTTGTTGAGATTCACTAACTTAATGAGTAGCAAACAAGGCAAGATATTCAATTTACTAAATAACTGTGGCAGGATGATTGAGCTTAACAATCTTGTCTTTGAAAAAATAAAGTCTACTGAATAAAAAATTATCTCCGCTTGGCTATCTAAAAAATCCACAATGTCATCTGCACTTAAATTTCCTTCCTTTTCTGAAATGACTTTCTTATTTTGTCTATCTCCATTCTGTCTCTCTCCATTAACATTAGTCATATACATTAGGCTTCAGATAAGAAAGAGAAAATGTAAGTAATTAATTTAATAAAGATGCTAAACATATGTGAAGATACTTGGTACTGCTAAATCAAAACACATTCTTACAGGTGATTGATACCATTGATTCTAACTGCACTGGATGCACATTAGACTATGAAAGTCTTCTGAGACATCTTTGGTTCATCTGAATCATGGAATGGTTTCCCAGTGCCAATCAGAATCTCTGTAATTACAACCAGGCAGAGTTTAAATGGCTACCCAACATCCTTGCTGTGATGCAAACACAGCCAAAGCCTGGGTGATTTACTTGATTTTTACTGGTGAAGAAGGTTTAGAGCAGAGATAAGCCCTTGACCTTCACATCAGGTCCTCCAGGATTCCAACACTAGAATCCTCTTGGCCAGCTCAGGGTTTTCAAGGTCACCTCATCTGGGTGTACTTTCCAAATGTCAATGGTACAAGACAGTAACCAGCAAAAAGGCAAATATCCACCTCCCTGAGCAGGTGATCAGAAGCACATCCAACAGTTGCAGGAACAAATATACCCTGGAGTCAAAAGGCTGGCACTTGCTGTTGATGCCCGAGACAAAGAAAAGTGGCTGTTATACTGAGAATGGCCATAAAATCTTTTGTCAAAGAGATATTTAGATAGAGAAGCTGATTTTGTAAGTGATAGAAAAGCACAGAATTTGCAGCCCTCTAGCAAAAAACAAAAATATGTGGTTTTGGATGCAGCTGCACAGTGCCAGAGTATAAGCCCAAAGCCTGTGTGAGAACTGGACAGTCCTCATAAGCTCTTGTCTCTGGAAAACCAGTGAGAATGAGGGCATCTGGAGCTCTGAATGTCTTTAGATCTTGGGCATGGATCATATTTATGAATTTCACTTTGGCTGACCAAAGCTGACCACTCTGGAGGACATAAAATTTCCTCACTGTGCAAGCAAACAGAACACCAATTAATCAAAATATGCCCTCAAGAGCTGAGTGCTTGCTCTGACTTACATGAAACAAAAATTCGTGTCCACAGGAAGGTAGATGGAGAGAACAGGGAGCTGTGATGTTCTCCCAGATACTGCAAAAAGGAACAATTGCCAGGTGGAGATGGCCATGCAACCTAGCATACTGCCATTGGATAAACTGTTATTGATAACAATCAAACAAATGGCTCTAAAAAGCTCTCTAACCTCTTCGATATCTTCTAATGCACCTGAGTAGGAATGACTTCATTTTGGTCTCCCACATATTTTGTTCGTGTTTCGTTGGCATCAAAATAGTAAATACTGGTTCCCCCTTGATCTGAAAGACTAGAATAGATTAAATCATCCTGGTTCTATTCAGCTAGTCAATACTTTTTCCTTCATAGTTTCTATACCTTGTCAAAACTAGAGTGTATTATTGGCAGGGGCAAAGAGTTCCCCCTTTAAAGCAATTACACAGCTATTACATTACAATTTGGGTTTCTGTTGAGATGCATCATAAGGTGGGTCGTTGTCCTTCCTGTCTAACTCCAGAGTATCTTGAGGTCAATAAGAAATAGGAATATCCGCAGCATTAATAAAACCACAGATTTTTCAGAACTATGCTGGTTTTATTTTTTGCTTTAGAAATTGCAAACAACCAGATTTGTTTCAAAACAGTGATTGTTTAATGTATTACTTACAGAAGGCTAAAGCAAAATATACTTTATGTATTTTAGTGGCTAAATCAAGGATTTCTTTTGAAGACTCAACCCTCTAATGACTTGAAAGT